TAGGCAGGGCTCAAAAGCCTCTTTTTCTGTAGGTGTTGCATCTATCTACTGGACATTCCAATCTGCAACCTCCTGAGTTTTCTTCCATGTAGTGTCGTCATCAGAGTAAGGTGAAGCAATATGACACATACATATTTAATTGTGTTACAATGATTATGACAAATTAGAGGAAGATACGTCTCTTCCAAAGATGTTCTTATATATTCAGGCTAGCCCACTCCTATAACAAATCCAAAGTCACTCCATTTAAGATCTGCTACTTGTCATTCAACAACTCTCCCATACTCATTCCTCAGTTTTTTCCAATGGTGGAGCAAACATGATTGCATGTTATTCCCATGATCATACTTATTTTTTTCCTTAAAAGTAACAAATTGTATCACAACATGTTGGCAAAGCCAGCATGTGAAGACTGGGAAGTGTTTTCCAGGGAAGAAGCAATAAGTGCAAGTCTGAGGCAGAAATAAGTGGAGTTTCTCAAGGAAGCAAAAAGGTGGTTAGCTGGGACATAGTGAGTGAAGGGACATGATAGGAAGGGGAGATCATGCAGGCAAGTTAGGAAGCATAAGTTTCTTGCAAAGCAATGCAAAACCATGGGAGGTTTAAGGCAGTGGGTAATGTGATTAAACATGATTCAAGGGCTCATTCTTACTGCTGCATCTTTGTAAGGCAACCAGGTGGAAGTATGCAGACATCAGGAGCTGTGTTCCATATTACTAACTTGGAGGTGAGTAGTGTTTAAGCTAAGGTTATAGCAAGGACTTCAACAAAAGGAAGGATTTGAGATACATAAAATATAACTTCTGACAAGCATGACATATTAGGACAGAAAAGCAGTGGTAGCTGAGGATAGTGAGCACGGGAAAGAGGTGATGGAAGGTGAGCGTCGGAAGGTAAGAGAATCCATATCCAAAAGGCCAAGTTAGGAAACTTGCTGTCAAATTTGGGAGGAATTTGGTCAAATTATACATGGGACAAAGGAGATAAGAGAGAACCAAAGTGTGCTCATTTCCAGCTTGAGGTCAGAGCAAATTATACTGTCAGTGTCATCTACTGAGACAAGGAAATCCTGGGGAAAAATTGATGTTCGGAAAACAAATCTAGATTTGGTTTAGACATGGTAAAAGACTCAATAGTACAACCTTGTATGTTCGTTGGGCCAAGTAAATGACAAATGCATAAAAGCCTTTCCCAATGAGCCTTTAATGTAAGAACTAAAAATTTTGATTTTATATTTATTATCAACATTTTACTCACAGAATCTCATCAACATAAGAACTTAACGAAAGCAGCTCCATTTTCAAAACCTCATATCGCATAGTGCACGGCGATTCTGTAAAAAGTCACCTTGGTCTTCTCTCCTTTGTCACATGCAATCAAACGTATTTTGTGAATGAAAGGGAGTGAAGCAGAGGCAAATTGAATGACGCCCTATGATCTGACTTTTTTGGCATGACGATTAAGAGTTTTTCACAGATGGATTATACATCTTTCCATCATTTATTAAGCCGTCTTAGTAAAAATTCTATCAGGAAAACGTCTGGTAAGGCAGGTCGATTTGGTTATCAAAGAAAGCTTGCTCCTATAAACTCAGAGTATCTTTAGAAGAAATTAGGGTAGAAGTAAGAGAGCAGGAATTTCCCACCTCCTCCACATCTGCTCTCAAATCTGCCCTACCGCCACCTCCAGATGATAAACAGTCACTTCTTGACACATTCATATACTGGAAAGGAACATCAGCATAGGAAATAATTGCCACACAAGAAACATAACTTTCACTTGTCTACTCTAAAATGCACCAGGACACCCTCGTGAGTTGGAGGAGGGAAAGCAATTATTTAGATCCACACTCTTTATCAACATCCCTGAAGCAGAAAGCAAATGAAAACTAGTAAAGGGATGTCACTTCCAGACACTGTGCCTCTAAAAATAAAAGCAAAAAAGGACACACATCTATCCTGAGTTTGGTCCTGGATTTGCCTGTGCAGTGAGTAGACAGCTGTGGGTCTAGTTGGCCATTATCACAAAGAGTCAGAAAGGAAGGATACACTCAGGGACAATGTCTCTGCAGCTTTCTAAAGGCAATGGCACTTGGGAGTACTTGGGTACCACATGCAACCCCTCAGATATTCCTCGTGGATGACAGTCATTTCATGGGGTTTGCCAGGTGAATTCAGGGTATTTCTGTGCATCTGAAATGTTGGTCGCTTCATATGGTTGATAACAGGCTGATCGCCTGTCTGCCCTTTGTGAACAGAAACACAGCTGTAGGGTTGGATGTAGCAAGACAAGGTAGAGTATAAGCAAAGGAAGCAGATTAAGAAATCATTGTGCTTCTCTTTTTTTAATTAAAGAAAAAGTTATTCGTATTTAAGTGTTAACCTGGGTCAAGTTTTTTTCTTTTTTCCAGGAAGCTCACTATGCCAATCCTCTTAGTTATAATCACACCAATCATGCCAATAAAGTCTCCAGAATGCCCGCTTGTGCCTTGTTCAGTTGAGAAGAATGTGTTAGGCGCACTTCGGTGTGCTGAACTGAAGACTTATTTAAAGCTATAAATAGTTTTACGCTCAGATTATGACTTTTAAGAACGACAAGAAAGGGATCAAATAGGCAGTTGCCTCTGACCTCTCTCTGCGGTGATCCTGTCCCAAAGTTTTGGAACACAGCCCTTCTTTGACGTTTTAAAATTTTATTCTGGGATCCAGCTCTTCTGCAAGATGGGGTCAGTATCAGCAAATGGCACCAGGAATCTAACAAAAGAGAGACCCAAACAACAGTGGCTGCGACATTTCCTATAGGCTCTTCCCGGCCAATTATGGCCACTGTCCAGGCTGCAGTTTAGAAACTGGGTGCATGGAGGGAAATGACACAACTCCAGAATCCCACATTTTTTTTCAAAGGGCAAGCACCAGAGTAGACAGGAACAAAGGATGTGCACCCTCCACGGGCATTTATAACCTACTGGGATCCACTCATTGTGAATTACGGCCCAGTGAGAGCCATTCAGGGAGAAATTGGGAGGAGGGACCCTGCCCCCTGGCCCTGCAGACCTGCATGAAGTCTCTGAGAAGCAGGTTATAAGAGCTGCTGTGTTGTGTTTTTTAACCCAAGGCACGTGTTTTCCTGCTGCATGCTTGCTCTGTCTTCTTCATTAAAGCAAAGATCCTGTCAAATGAACTCAGTGGAAGAGGGATTAGCAAACTAGAGCTGACACACACAGTTCTGGACCCAGAGGGACTTTGACAAAACCCTTCAATCCATCCATCCATCTGCCTTTAGGAAGAGCTGCGGGGACATCGCCTGCTTTGTTTCCTTAAAATAGAGAAAGTAGTTCTAGGATGTGTCAGTGGCTTTTAATCCACGTGCTCCATGTTTTCTATGGTAATAACTCATCGTGCCAAAGTTCTGCTCTGAAGGTGACCATGACACATGCTGGCTTCGACTGAATGATCCTTCTGTGAAGTCCCTTGTTTAATGTATTTGTATCAAGCCACCAAGATCTTGAGCAACCAGTTTCTGAGGAAACTCTATTTCCTGAATCAATTCCTAGGCATTTGTTTTGGATGTTGTAAGGGAAACTGAAGGGCATTGTTTGTTGAACAGGATGGCTTTGACCTGCTCAGCTTCCTGGAATGGAGAAAATTGCCTGATGTCAATCACCTGACATCAGTATGATTTCTGCTTAGCATAAGTGGAAGAATCTTAATGAAACTAACCTTTTGATACTGAATTTAAATGACTGAACTAAGGTGTCACTTTCAAAAGTGAATGTTCAAATCCACATGGATTCTGTGGCCATGCATATATCGCTGCTAGAAGTTAGGGTTAAAGCCCAGTCACATCTGCAGACCAACAGGGGACAGATAGAAGCCAGTTGCCAAGTGACAGCATCCCTGTTTGCCAGGTGTAGTGGTGCTAGGATGCAAACAGCCCTGACGGGGATTTTATTTCTAGGCACACTGACAGACCATTCAGCAAGATGCCACCATGCTTCACTCCATCCAGATCATCATCGTCAACCTGCAACTCTATCAGGACAGGGACCGGACTCTCCCATGAAGACCTCAGGGACCAGGACCACACAGCAGCCTCCCTACTTGGGTCCCCATTGCTGTGGCTAAGAAGGACAGGGGAGATAGATTAAGGTGGCGGGGTGGGGCTATTCCAGAAACTATGTCTGAAATGAGGTGGTGGGACGCTGCCTTGAAGCATTATTGATGCTATGAGACATCAGTGTCTAATATAAAGGGAATAAAGCCAAGGAGATCTTTATGCACAAACCTGGGCTTGGAACCTTTCTGTAGACAGAGCCCTAAACTTCCCAGAACATGCCAGCAGTCAAAGGTCCCATGAACCAAATTCCTATTTTTCTACTTTCTACTGGTCTATTCTCTATCCCATTGCAAAACGTCCAAGAAAATCCAATGCCTTTCTTACCCCTTCCTCTCCAGCCCTAATCCTAGCTTGCAGCTTATGTTTTCTGTTTGTGGAATGCATCAGGCCATAAAGTACCTCACTGCTGTGCCTTACGCATTTTCCTCCTGCTCAGGCACCACCTGTGAGTACCTGTAGCCCCAGAGAAATTCTGAAAATCTGGGTATAGAAAAACCCCTGAAAAGCCAAGGTAGAACAACTTAACCCTTGTGTTCATGTTTGTTCACCCAGTACTTCCAATTCCCTGGTCCTCTTGGGCAAGCGCATGGCCATGACTGAGGACGATGAGGAAGAGTCCAGTAAACATGAACATGTTTATTTATCCTGGAGTGCCATGAATGTTCAGTGGTGAGGCACCTCAGAGATTGCTTTTATTTTTTTATATTTTTAGCAAGGCCCATCACTTCAGAACTCAGGGATTGTTTTAGCCTAAGCCAGAAGAGTTTAGGCCCTGGAATGCCTAGGAAAGTTCCTCCTTGAGTTTGGTCCGAAAACATGGGTCCCGAGTGAGCCGCACTCTCAAAGTCAAGTGTGGTTTTATTGCACTTGCTGATTCCCAGTGTGATTCGTTTGTCTCAGCAACTGGACATCTGTGTCCACGAAATGGAGGGTACCCAGCCAAGTGTGGACATGTTCTGATGAAGTTTGGAATTTGTGCAACAAATTTTCCATGCTCAACTGAATTCTTGGTAGACGGCAAGATGCTGCCTAATGAAAAATATCCCGGAAAGCACAGGATACATCTTCCTGGCATTGCTAGTGATTAAGCAGTTTACCTTTGCCTGCTATTATGGCTGAAAGATAAAGAGATGACATCACAGAAGGCGTATGAACACCTTACTTTTGAATTGCTGTTTTATTTTAACCCTTCTAGAGTCTCTTTTTCCATTTCCTCATGTTGCCTTTACAACTTTCTTGTGAGCAGGGAAGACTGGTATTACATAACTTTCAAGGGAGGAAAATCACACACAAATTGGTTAAAAGACTCGCTTTAGGGTTCTATGACTCCAGCTGGTCTGTGTCTCAGATGGATCCTGGCAGGAAATTGGGATAATTTAAAGAAAGTTTAATAAATGAAATGATTACCATGTCACAGACAAGGGGTAAAAAAATCACTGGGAATAATGCAAGAGGCTGGGGCACATAAAGGCAGTTTCTCTTACCATCCCTAGGCCTGAAGGGGCAAGAAGAGGTAGCTGATACCCAAGGGGCCTGGAATAGGAGTGTAAACTTCAGTCAAGGGATGCAACCAGCCCCAAACAACCTTTACAGAGGAATCCAAAGAATGAACATCCAACCTAACTTTCCTCCATGCCCACTCTGGCCTACTTTTTGGGTCTCCATTCCCCCATAACCAACCCCATTACTACCAGCATTGACCAAACCCATCTGAAAGCCAGGAAGCAAGGAAGCCTATGAAGGGAGTCCAAGTAATGGACCCACCAGGGAGCACTCCTGGGAAGGTAGACTCTACAAAATACAGCCTGTAGAGTCAGCCTCAGAAAAAGCCAGACCTTCTGGTTACTAGTTCATCTATCATTCACCATTGTCTTCTAGATAACTAAAGGCAGGTGCATTATAAAGAACTCACCCTGCCTTTGTTGGTGACTGAAAGACTGTATTCCCTAGTATAAGCCTGGCAAAGGTAGGCTTCTGCTTTCAGTTCAGTGCAATTCAGAAAGCATGTTTGAGTTCTGTAAAGTGAGTACACACTGTTTAAGTTCTTATGAGAAATGCATTAATTAATATAGTACCGCCTTTTCTTGCTGTTCTCCAAAATATTTACTATGGCTGGTCTTATCCCCAGCATACACACACACACACACACACACACACACACACACACACACACACAGGTACGTGTACATGGGCACACAGAAGCACATGCACATGAACATAGGTACACAAAGGCATGCACATACATGTGCACAGGCACTTGCATTTAGGCACACAGAGGCATACACATACATGCACATACACAGACATATGCACAAAACAGTCCACATAGGAAGACGGGAATGAAGCACAGCTTGTCTTTCTGGATCAGATGCCACAGAGTTAATTTTAGTTGGAAAACTCCTTGACAGACTTCCAGGAAAATACTACTCTGAACAGCAGAGCTCCTACTAACATCTGTCTGCTGTTTCTCAGTGACACCAATGTCAGCCTCTAAGTTTCATATCCTCAAAGATTCCTCTGAAATTAGTCACCTTGATGAGGCTCATAATGGCATAAAAGCAGCTGTTACTGAAAGGAATTGCTATGTTTTTGGTGGTGGGGGTGGTCAGGGAGCAAATAAATAGATGGATGGATGGATGGATGGATGGATGGATGGATGGATGGATGGATGGTTAGGTGAATGAGTGAATAAATGGAGGGATAAATGGATGTATGTATGTATGGATGGATGAATGGATGGTTAGGTGGGTAAGTGGATAAATGGAGGGATAAATTGATGAATAGATGGATGGATGGGTAGATGAATGGATGGTTAGGTGGATGAGTGAATAAATGGAAGGATAAATGGATGAATGTATGTATGGATGGATGCATGGATGTACGCCGTAGATAAGTGGATAAATGGACTGAAATGGATTGGAATGGATGGATGTCGATGGAATGATTGATGGATGGATGGAGTGGTTAGGTGGATAAGTGGATAGAAAGGAGGATAAATAGATGGGGATAGATGGTTAAGGGTGCGATGAATGGATAACATGCAGGGGAATAATGGATTGGATGATAGGATGCGATGGATGCGATGGATGGGATGTGATGGCAGGATGGAGGATGGATGGCGATTAGATGGAGAATGGTTATCTATAAAAATTAATGAGAGAGAAGGATCTACCTAGCTCTCCTTCATTATTTTTGGTGAAAACAGTCTGAAATCCTCTAAATCCTGAGGTAAAGGAGTTTCTATCTAAAACACCACTGTAACAGAGAGGAATATATTATAGAAGTAGAAGATGGTCTGGAGTCAAAGTCCTAAGATTTGAATCCTGGGCCTGACACCACTCCTAGCTTGAGGACCTAATCTGTGCCTCTGCAATGCCAACTGCCTCCTCGCAGGGAACAGCTCGTCCTGCTGTACAGTTGGCCTGCTCTTCTGCTAAGTGCATAACAAACGGGATTAAACAGTCGGAGAGTGACAATTATCTTAAGGCATAAGGGGTGAAGCATTACACGTCAACACACTCAAGTCATAGTACCTGAAATCCAGTCTTTCACCAAACTTAATGATCTGGGCATTTCCCAGAAAAACCTTCGATGTGGTTGCATCAATGTCCATGTGAGTCAGATTGCTTGGAAATAA